GTAAAAATAAGCGAATAAGAGTAAAGATTTTAGAGTTTACCCCTTCTGCGATAGCTTTTATATGGGCGTCTACTTCTCTGTTCAAATATCGCTCCTCAGCTTCGCGTACAGCGCGAACATCATCATCAACCTCGAAATTTGCAGTTTTTAGGATGTCTTATTTATTTTCCAAAACAGTTACGCACCACAACAAAAGACGTATCCTTTCGCATGTCGTTGATGAGTGACAAACCCTTCACCTGACGATCCGCTTCTTCTGAAATTCACTGGTTAAAAAGACCCATAAAAGCTCAGTGCTTTTTCCACTCTACCCCTCATTCGGTTGAGGGCGTCCAATTCCTTTTGGTCATACTCAATGGCGGTGTCTGGGGATTCTGCTCGAAGTCTATGCAGCAACTTTGCGAGTAACGTAGCATGTACTATTTCAAAAGCTTACCGAGCAGAAGTTCGTCGTAGATTTCGCGGAGGCGGAGGATTTGCAGCACGCACTGGAGCCACAGGTGGAAATATGTTCATAGCTCCGCGCAATATTGGGAATTCGGGTTCCTCGATACCATCGAGGGCATTGCGCGCACGACGCTGCATTCTGGGCTGGGAAGTTTGGATGGGCTAGGGCTATGATTCCTCCTCTGGCGACCGGTAGGCGCTATAGTGAGTGACCAATCACTTACAGAACAAGTTGTTAAATAAGAGTTGCTAGTAGAAAGGCAGACTCTGTGGGGGTTTATCGCTGTCTTCAACACTTCTTCTTAACAGGCTGTATTGTGCCATATCCACCTCTTGCTCTTATCATGCAAACGCATATAAATCAAGATTATTGAGCGACACTTGATACATTACTTGACCAATAAGATTACTCTACAACCCTGTTGTTGGTTTGTTATATGGATGATTTGAAACTTTTGTAAATGGAACGAAATTGCTTGCATGTATTAAAAGTTGACAACTGATTATGTTCTACAAAACCTATCCAAATAAATAATTGATAAATTAGGGGCATAGCCCAAGGCACTCGTTCGAAG